GGGTTTTTAAACCTAAGTCAGCTATCTTCCATCGCCATGTCAACGTGGCAGTCATCATATGGGTCAGTAGGGCCTCTGTGATTGGCTGAGAGACCTCAGGGAACCGTAACGGGTCTGAACCCTGGGGCTCTGCTGCAGGGCTTGGGATCAGGCATGACAACACAAAAGCACTAGAAATAATATTCCGAAAAATAAACTATTTAGTCGTGTGTAATCAGTAACAGTTCAAGGCTCACTTTAGAACATTGTGTTCACGTTATTTTTTCATAGCTTAAAGCAAAGCTGGCACGTCTCCTAAAAATAAATAAATCAGCTGCCATACTGTGATACATCTAAAATTTAACAAAGTGTTTAAAAACTTGAATGTGGGGACTAATTTGCTGTAGGCTTTTCGAACGCAAGACGCTGGTTTCTCCTCAAAGGCTGGGAGAGGCACTATTCCGGTTCTGCATATGGGCTCGGAGATAACGTTACGCGAACATGACGTTGCGTTTGTGACGGTGGTGAAGCCTGGAAAGCCAAACAAAAGGCACGGTAATAGGAGCATTATTTCTGCTCCTTTCCCTGCGTCGGAACTTCCCAGACAGACCTGCTAGGTTCAGCAACAGCTTCTTCCCCGAGGCTGTCAGGACACTAAAGACCCTGCTACCCCCTGCCATTCTTGAGACCATCCCCCCACCTCTGTAATGGCACTGGTCACTTGAACTTATTAATATTCATCTATTCATTGTTAGTTATTAGCCATTATATTTCTTCAGCCCCAATGTGCGGCTGCTGTCTTACTTACACATTGTGCTACATAAACCCTTCCGTCTAGGGTTGCCACTTTTAGTCTGAAGAAATACGGGACGCCACCCGCCACCGCAAATGGCGAAATACAGGACAAACCTCATCCAGCATTGGTTCAAAATGGCATTTTATTTTTAGAAACCATCGTGCAAAAACAGGATGGGTGTCCAATGCCCCTGTTTTTGCACTATCCAGTGTTTTGCACTCGAAATGCTTTGAAAATCCTCCTCATCACTGCTGCTGTACCTTGCACCGTGGACCTGGGGGGGGGGGGGGCACCATTTCACACCACTATATACCTAAGCTGAGGCATGATGCTAAGGTGGTGCCCGCCAGGTGACCGTGCCGCCGGTTAGAGAGCCTGGCAGAGGACTGCCGCTGGCACACTGGCACGAATGGGCATCGTCACATCAGACGGCACTCGTGCAGAGACAAAGGGGGTTTTAAATATCAGAGCGCATTCATGCGCCGCGCCGAAAGCCTCCGGATACCTCCGCGGAGAATGTCAGCTAACGAATAAAGACTAATTGGCTAACCCCTTCCGCTAATCTTTTTTTTATTGTGTCCGCTTTAGGCAAGATTATTCTTCTATTTTTAACACATATATGATATGAAGAGTGGGGGGGATAATCCGCCGATTGGGCATCGCTCCTTTTCCGGAACTTTCTGCGCGGGGTTTTGAAGTCCCTCACCACGCAAGTTTGTTGCCTTGATAAACCCAGATGGGTTGTTTGTGATTTCCTGGCTGTAAGTGGAAGGATCAGTCAGGTCCATGAAATGCCAGTGTGTGAAGGTTTTGTTTGGTTTTTTTTTCTATCTGTTACCATAACAATTAATGGGATTTAACGGGATAACCGGATTGCCGTTTGTGTCCTTTATCTCTCAGCATACAATGGCCGTAAATATAAATTCTGAAGTGATCAAACTTAGTGGAGCTGTATGCAGAAGGACCTTATGATTCGGATGTCAGGATGCACAGAGGTGGGCCGGTAGCCTCGTGATGGGGGGGGGGGGGGACCAAGGCCCCGCCTTCGTATTTGTGCACTTCACACCCACTCTGGAGGCTCCATCTTCAGCCCTGACTTACGTGGCTTTGGGAAACCACATGGAAGTGCGGTCATTCCAGCGTGTAGGTCTTTCCCATGGTCTTTCCCCAGCTTCCCATTCCCACCCCTCTGTAAGTTCTCTCGCGGTCTTGGGAGTTCCCGACAGATCACCAAGCACCCCCCTATACTTGGTCTGTGGATTTTGGAGTGAGAGGGACCGAGCATCAGAACGGTTTTGTTTTCATAGACTGGTCACAGCTGGCGTCGCTTCTCTCAGTTGATTTTGTAGAGGAGCAGAGCATCACATCTCTGGATGCAGAGATTGCGTCCGGTCGATGGGGCTGTTCAGCAGAGCCTGACGATGGCAGGCAGGAAGAGGGGGCAGCACTCGTGACGGGGTGCGAGCGGACCCCCAAATAGTGACGTCAAGTGCTTGGGGGTGTCTTTTCAGCTGTGGGAACGTCGTCCGGGCTCACAGATGGAGTGGGATGGACCGGGCCCAGGCCGCTCTGTCTCTGGCTCGGCTCGGGGCATTACACAGCATGGAGACTGTACCCGCTCTGCAGTCAAAGTGTGGGTGGGGGCGACGGTCGAAGGCCGGCATGCTTGACCGGTGATGGCCCACATAGCCCATTCTGTTCATTGATTGCATTGTCATTTGTAAGCGGTTATCCAGTACCGGGTCAAGGTGAATATGTGAATGGGAGCACAGGGGACGTGATGGGGGGTTTACTGGATGGGATGCCAGTCTATTGCAGGCGAGACACACACATGTACACACACACACACACACACATACTCATACTGTGGGATGTGTAGGAGGCCTTTGTGCAAAGACAAACACGCTCAAAATGCTCATAGGAGACCTAACCATGGCCCAGAAACACCATTGAGCTGCTCAGTTGGCTCACATGGCTCATGATTGGCCGGTGCTCCAATCCACTGCCCATCACAGCTGATTGGTTGCCCTTAGCCACCCTCAGAGCGAGGAGTCAATCCCGATGTTCCGTGCAGAAGAATGAGGCGAGATGTTGTTGCCCGCCTTTCCAGGAAAGAGATCCGTAGAGCCTTTGAAGAATCGCGACATTCCGTGCCGGCTCAAGCGAGGCTGAGATCACAGGCCGAGGGAAAATGAGTACAGAGAGAGATGGAGGGGGGGGGGGTCGAGGAGGAGACAGGGAGGAGATTCCAGCTCACTAAGAACCCTGGACCTCCTGGGATCTCCACAGCACCAGATACAGCCGGGGGAGGTCGGGGGCGAGGGGGCGGCCGGCCAACCTTATGCCGGCGTTTGTTTTATGGCCGTGTTAATGTGCTGGGGTCTCGCTTTCTGCCTCCCCCCACGGAAGAGCCACTCCATTTTATTTTTATTGCCCCATTCAATCGATATCCCTTACCTTGGTTTAATAAGAACAGATATTGAAGCGGTTACAGGTCACATGTCCTCCCCCATCGCCACCCCCCCCCCCCCTGCCCGAGGTAAATGCATTTGAATAAAAGCTGACATGTCCAGCTCACTGGCACGGCTTTTTAATGCACTCTGGGTGAAGCCGGAACGTCCTGACTGTCCCGCCCCCCAGTCCGCCCCGATGCGGACTTGCATGGATTACCCAGCCGTACTGCGCTGTGACTCCGGAAAAATCCCAAAGGCCCTTTAGGGACACGCGCCCCTTTCTAACACATTATCCCTACCCCTCCTCTTCAGCCCCCCCCACCCCACACACACTTTATCACAAAGCTCTCCTTTCCACTATTCCCAGTAAACACCCGCATCCTCCCCTCTACCTATTAGCCTTGGTTATCCATAAAAATGAATCTTTACATCAATCCAGAGTGCCAGAATGGTGACCTGACTCGCTTAGGCTGAATTCCACTGCCGCAGCAGCCTCTGCAGCTCTAGGACCTGGGCCGACGGGCGCCCGACAGTTGAAACGGGAGAGCGGGCAGCAAGTGCGGCGAGAGCGGGCCCAGAGAAAGCGGATCCCAGGAGCGAGCTCCGGGATCCGCGGCCCAATTTGTTCTTGCCTTTGTGCCAGTAATAAGATCCGGGCGTCCCTGGCCATGGCGCTGATAATTAACTCCCAGGGATAAACTCAGATATGGCCCCCTGCTTGATTTATTGCAGCGACGGCGAGGACCGCGTGGCCCCGGGAAAGATGCATAAATCGCGCAATCTTCTTGATGTATGTTTTCGGAGATAGATAGGGAAAGAAAATGGGAGGGGGCTGGCGGTGTGGATACCGGTGCTCACACTTCTTAGATGACAGGCTGTGGAATCTGAACTGGAAGATATATGTAATATTAAAAACTTACCAGTTATTACACGTCACTCCCTTATATATTTTCTCCTGCAGGAGATTGCCAGCCTCGTTTGTTAGCCGTCTGATCTCCGCCAGACCTTTATCTTGTACCATTTTAAGTAGTGCTCGGCATTCCCATAGAAGCGGTAATGCATTTCTCTGTCTTACTCTTCACGTCACACAAGCGAGCGACGCCCGTCCCCTTAAACGACCTCCTGCCCCATCACCTTTCCGCATGGGATGTTATTTTGGTTTCGCTGGAAGTGGGATCCACCTATGTCTTGCAGATTTATGGTTACGGGACAAGTGCAACTCAGCTTGGAGTCTTTTTTTCCTTGACCCAGCCCACCTCTCTTATCCTGCCTTGTCTGTCCCGGTGCAACAGCATCTTGGAAAACTGTTAATAGATTCAAGCTGAATATTTCCTGGCTTTGTCTCTGGCGTCATCCATCTCTATGAGGAGACGTCTGGGGTCCGTGAGGATGTGGAGCGTGGTCAGAGCGTCAGGTGCCATTTACACTAAGAAACTCTGCCATGTTTCCATTACTATAGATCAGTGTTTCTCATCCCTGTCTTTGGGAACATTTTTGTTCCCTTCCAGCTCCTGGTACAAGTGTGCTGAGAGCAGAGTGGAAGCAAAAATGTGAACTGTCTGGTGGTACCCAAGAACTGGGTTGAGAAGCACAGCTACAGTGAATTTTTTGGGATGTGCACAATGACAATGAAGTTGACTTTGATTCTGTCTTGTACCCTCTGCTTCCTGGGATAGACTCCATGCTCGCCACAACCCAGTCCTGGTTAAGGATGGATGGATGGAAGATTCATGGCTATTAACATTTTTTTCTTGTCTCTGTTTGTGTTTCAGAAACATGTGAAGATTTTGGACGGGGTACAAACAACGAATTGAGTCTTTGACAAACACACTGGGGGGGGTGTCTCATCTTCCCACTACTTCCCGAAACACTTTGTTTTGTCTGCTTGTCCCTGGGTGGGCTACACACAAAGCATGGGCAACCAGCTGGATCCTCGAAGGACTTTGTCACTTCGCCCGAGATGCAGCCTGGCCCGGCCCCTGTGCTGGTGGCTATTGTTCCACGCAATCCTCCTTCCTGAGTTGGGCTGTGGCCAGCCCTTCACCAGCTTCCACCCGGAACGCCGGGAATGGGCCTTCAACCACCTGACTGTCCACCGTAAGACAGGGGCTCTCTATATTGGTGCCGTCAACCGGGTCTACAAGCTCACGGGCAACCTTACACTACTGGTGTCCCACGACACAGGCCCCGAGGACGACAACAAGGCCTGCTACCCTCCACTGATAGTGCAGCCCTGTTCAGAGCCACTTGCATCCACCGACAATGTCAACAAGCTGCTGCTCATCGACTACTCTCAGAACCGACTACTGGCATGCGGAAGCCTCTACCAGGGCGTGTGCAAGCTGCTGCGACTCGATGACCTCTTCATCTTGGTGGAGCCCTCTCACAAGAAGGAGCACTACCTCTCCAGTGTGAACCAGACTGGCACCATGTACGGGGTGATTGTCCCCTCCCAGGGCCAGGATGGCACGCTCTTCATCGGCACGGCCGTAGGCGGGAAGCAGGACTACTTCCCTACCATCTCCAGCCGCAAGCTGCCCAGGGATCCTGAGTCATCAGCCATGCTGGACTACGAACTGCATACCGATTTTGTGTCTTCTCTGGTCAAGATCCCGTCGGACACATTAGCGCTGGTGTCACACTTTGACATCTACTACATCTACGGCTTTGCTAGTGGCGCCTTTGTCTACTTCCTGACGGTGCAGCCGGAGACCCCAGAGAACAACATGCCGTCCGGGAGCACTCCCGGTGACCTCTTCTACACCTCGCGCATCGTGCGCCTCTGCAAGGACGACCACAAATTCCACTCCTATGTTTCGCTGCCAATCGGCTGTGTGCGCAATGGCATCGAGTACCGACTCCTGCAGGCCGCCTACCTGGCCAAGCCTGGGCGGGTGCTGGCCGCCTCTCTCAACATCAGTCCCCAGGACGACGTGCTCTTCGCCATCTTCTCGAAGGGACAGAAGCAGTACCACCGGCCGCCAGACGACTCAGCCCTCTGTGTGTTTACCATCCGCGACATCAACGCTCGCATCAAGGATCGCCTCCAGTCCTGCTACCAGGGTGAGGGCAACCTGGAGCTCAATTGGCTGCTGGGGAAGGACGTCCAGTGTACCAAAGCGGTAAGGCCCGCCTCCTCTCCACCACACTGCACCGCGGATGTGTAGGTAGGCCGGGAGACTGCGGTATCCATGCCTGGAGATGGCGTTTAGTTCTATTCAAAGTATGTGGTTAGCTAACGGCAAATGTACAAAATTAAATCCACCCTCCTCCCTGACAGGCAGCTCAATGAAGAAAAAATACGAGAGAACAAGTACGGATCATACATATGCCTGCTTAAATCAGGGAATTTTAAACAGCCCCAACAGGTGAACGCCTACCATTTACTGCAAAATCCCATAGTGAGTCAGATGATAAGCAATATGGTGCCGCCATACACGCTGACACAGAGCCAAAGGAATAACAAATACTCATTTTCCATATTCTGTGACATTGTGCAAAAGTTCTGAGCTGGGATGGGGTCTGTGTTTAAAGGACAAAGTCAGTGGAGGTTGGGTGACTAAATAAACATCACTTGTGGAATGAGCATCAGTGCCATTGCAGACCGTTATTTTATTACTGACTGCAGATATAGTTACACAGTAAAGTATCAGATAGGAGCTCTTCACATGAACAAACACAACACATTTAATAAATATTTTACAGTATGGTGCAGAGGATATACAAGCTGAACATTTTAAGTCTTTTTATTATTAAACTACATCTCAAATATCTGAAGTATATTGGTTCTCCCAAGACAGTCTGTGACTTGATCTCATTGATATTTTTTACATTTACAATAAAAATACCTTATTTTATCAGTTAACTGCCCCCTGCCCCAAACCCATAACTGAGTTCTAGACTCAATGTCTCGCCCTGCAGCTCATGTCTGACCGGCGAGTTGTTTTCCGTTTTGTAAATCCCCTGCGGGTCGCTCCCACAGAAGGGAGTTATTCAGAACGAATCGAACAGTGCTGGTGCTTTTCCGTCAAGCCGCAGCAGCCAACATGGTGAACTTTCTCACTCACGATGTATCACAGGAGACCAAAGGGAAGCGATTTCTTCACAATCCCATTGTGAAAATCCCCCACACTCTACAAAAATAACGTGAAATGATGCTTTATCTGCCATGTGTGCAGGTATGGGAATTAGGTTTGGGTGACTGCACCCTGCCCCGCCCCCCTCCCTGTACCTCACCCTGCGCCGCCCCACTCCCTAAACCTCACCCTGC